AGCAAGTCTTACTGTTTATGTTTCAATTTGAAACGAGATTTTATTTACTTATTTCACACGTGTCCTGTGTAGTAATTCAATACCATTTCCTTTTAAATTTCTTGCTGACATTTTGACTCTATTCTGTCACTACATGTATAATGAACTTTGCTCATTAGGTACCTAAGTTAATTACTAAGGTGAGCTGTATCTTCAAATATTTAGGGACATTTGCACTATCATACTGCTTCTAATGAAAGCTGCATTAGAATTTAACAATATGCAAGATTCATTGTTAGAAAAAACACAAAAATACTTTGTATAATACACAAAGAATCCATTCTAACAAAATGTAATCATTGCCATTTTGTATAATACAGTAGTTTGACATTCACTTTAGCAGTTGAATCTAACGAACTTGTATCAGCTGTCAGAAATTTACACAACAAACTTTGGAAAATATGTATTTGTTTTTGAAAAAAAATGTTTGTAACAGCATTGTTTTCTTTTCCTTTCCCTTACAATACATTATTTTTGCTACTTGTACTTTATACTTATATACTTATACTTGAAGCTTAACAGCAAAAACTAACTTTACAAATATTTGACAACAACAACATTTGGGCTGTGAGTTGAAGAAATATAGTAATCAGTTGCAAATTCATTTTGTCTATCTTTTTCTAGGCCAGTAACCTTGGTTCAAGCTTTTTCTGCAATTACACCATATTATGATGATTTCTGGAATGACAGATCTAATTCACACCTAATACACATTACCATCTCTTATACTGTGAAAAAAAAAATGCACAGTGAAATTGTCCTTATCGTATATGACATAATTTATGTGAAATTTGCTCTCATCTATAGAGTAAATTACTTATCGTGGTCTCTCAATTAAAGCTGACCAATTCAAATACAAAATAGATATTAAGACAGATAAAAGAGCAAACTTCTACTTACTTTTTCCAGGACACTACAAATTATCTTCTCTATCAAAGCTTTTTTAAAGGCGTTTGAACTAACATTACCATCGCCATCACGATCATGATTGGATCTGAAAGTCTCTGGAAGAACAACTCAGGAAACTTAGAATATCCCTGATTTTTATCAACAGAGAGACAGTGAGGTTTTCTTCAGGGGCTTTCCATTGATTGTAACAAAAATTGTCCTAACATCAGTGCTGTTTTATTATAAAAGGGGAAAAGGCGGTTATGTAAGGGAGGTATCAGGGAAAAGCCTTCTGGCTCCCTGGATGGACCTATAGAACATTAGAAAATATATGCCAACCTAAATATAGTTGGTATTATTACTTGAACCTATAAAAGGAAATTTGTTCAAGAAGAGAAAGTAAACAGTTCCTCATAAACAACTTTCAATCTTGTTGGCCTAAACTTTCAAGTAGCAATTCTATGAATACCCTGCCCTCCCAGTTCCATCAGATTGCTCTATTAATATGCAAAAAATTCTAGGACATTTGCTTTCAGCTGAGACAAGGATTTAGGAGAAATTTGGACAGGGTTTTTCATCTAACATGTCTAAATTTTCCAAAATGCACATGGAACCATGATGTTTTAAGCCCTTTTGATCAGACCCTGAAGTTTGCTATGGGCACTTCTACACAACTCTACATCAGTTCAGAAGCAACTCAGAACCTCTACAACCACATTAGTTTACCTAAATCCAGATGAGCTATTTCCAGTTCAACTGTGGTATATAATATTATACTTTCTTTTTGCAATAATGCTTTGCAAAGCTTGCAGGCAATCCATATTCTTAGATGAAACTCTTGCTTGAATCCTGGGCTTTAGCCACCCAAGCAGGTCTTTTACAAAAATGCTGGCTTGATTTAACAGATATGAGATTGATAAATGTTATGTCTATTTTTCACTTCCAGTTCAGCATGGGATGGGCTGCTAAGTGCCAGTCTTTTTAGACTGCTTTTTTTTCCTCCTTAGTACGAAGCAGGGACAAACTAAATTATTTTGGCTATAGATAGTCCCCTACTTACGAATGGGCTATATTCAAAGAGGCTGTTCTTAAGTCCATTTTGTTCGTAAGTCCAACAAGCAAAAAAAAAAAGAGGTGGAAGCAGGAAGCAGGGCTGGTGGGGCGCAGCACACTCCATTGTCAGGCAAGGCAGGAGACCTCCACCCCTTCTCCCCTGTCCTCTGCCACCGCCTCCTCTCCTGCCTCACCCGGCAACAGAGCGCGCTGCATAAACTAACCTTTTCTGGGAACTCCAACTTCAATGCAAACCTCAAATGCAAACGGAATGCTGGAGAAGGTTGGAAACGGCGCACTAACCTTTCCCACCTTCTCCCGACTTCTGGTTCCAACTTCTGGCCTGACTTCTGGTTCTGACTTCCAGGTCCATCCTGCTTGTATCAGGGAAAGTTCGCAACATGAAAGTTTACAAGTAGGGGACTGTCTGTACTCAACTGGTATGGAAATATTGGTAGCACAAAAGTGCCCTTACAATAGGTTTTATACAGTTTAAGGAATATGTATTCTGTTTGAAACATGTTGCCCCCTGTCCCCTATTTCACTGTTACTGTGACATAAAACCATAGTTAGTCACTGGAAAAAGCATTTAGCTACATAATTCATGACATATCATGCAGCCTTCACAGCTCTCAATGGGAATATCAGTATAGAAGGAATGATAGCTGAATAGCTAGGGAGCTTCACCCTATTACAAGTGTTGTGGCTGGTTGGTTTGCAAATAACATACACATGTGACAGGTACTGAAAACATGGAATGGGAAGGAGATAGCCATTTTTTTTTTCCTGTGGAATGAAGGGTATGAAATGTTGTGTTGCTCTACAACCACAATACCTTCCATGAAGAACTGCCTGCCTTTTTAGAAGCTTCTATCAGTCAGTTGGTGGGAGACTACTCACTCTGTTGCCAGTGTTACAAGATATTAAGAGTAAGACAATGGGTAGGTTTGTTATAAACTGCTTTGATATGACTGGGAAGTAGAACTCACATGGATGTGTTCTATGAAGTTTCACAAGTAAAACCTTGATTCTAAATATAGCAAAGACATAGTGTCCTGTGAGACACTCTCACAAATATATATCACTGTGTACCAGCACTGCACAAAAGCTCAATATTTAGCCTTTTTGGCCATTCAACACAACAGGACTCTGGGCAATTTCACAAAGTTAAAAAACAGCATTACATAAAACTAACAATGGAACAACATGTCATGCTTCCACATGACCCCATAGCTTAAAGAAGCATTTGCAATCACTCTATCCCAAAGCATGGCGGGAAAGCCAGATTATTTATTTATTTTTTAAAAGAAAATTGCTTGAAGACACGCAAGGTGTAGGCCATAAGAATCTCTGGGTGATGGTGCTCCAAAGAGCAGATGAAGTGACAAAGAAGGCCCATTAGATGACATTGGTTAACTGTGAGGCCCAAACCTACACTGTTGGAGGGCACCAGATGGGCAGACCTTATAGGAGACAGGCAGTCCCTGAAATAAACAGACCCTATGACATGTAGGGCTTTATAGGCAATAACCAGCATCTTGCACCCAGAAGACAATACTATGACAAACTGGTTTTAATACAGTATTTACATAGGCAACGTAGGATTGCTGCACAGCATTCCTTACATTTTTGAGCAAATGCACACAGGATAATATTTTCAGTGAGTTAGTGTGATTGGGCCTCTTGGGCCATTTTTGTTTCTAAGCATTTTATATATCTCTAAGACTTTATATGCCAACTCTACCAAATAAGTTTTCATGGCAGGTTACAAAGCACTCTAAAACCATAACCTAAAGTTAAAATTGCACCATGAAACACATCCTTTTAAAGTGTTAAAATACATAGCATGCATTCAATCAGAGTCCCCACACCATTCTATGACATGGTGTGTTGAGGCATGCTATGAAGCCATGAGCTGGGCTCATACCTCAGGGTTCCTCAACCTCAGCGACTTTAAGATGGGTGGATGCTGGCTGGGGAATTCTGGGAGTTGAAGTCCACCCATC